GGAGCATGTGCTGGCTCTGTGATGCAAAGTGTGGGCATAGCAGGGCAGGAGAAGCCCCAGCCACCCTGCCATGAAGTGGTAGCAGAGCTGCTTGAGGTCCACACCGGCAGCGGGCCCAGCACCCCTGGTGGCTCATGCTTGGGCTGCCAGGAGGAGGAAGAGGAGCGCACAGAGCGATTGTGGGATCATGCTGGGCTGGGCATGCCCCTAAGAAGTTTGCACCCAGGGCAACCACCCCTGTAGCTCCCCAACACTACACCACTGATCAGAGTGCTTCATAAAAAATCAGTAACTCTGTGCAGGCATTTAAACAAGGTGAAAATTAATGTTTTATGGAGAAAAGCCAAGACTGAACCCGTTGGACCAACTCCCAATTTCCATTCATTGACTAAAATCCTGTTACTTGGCATAGTATGTCACAGCTACAACATGTCACAGCAAGAACATGTTTGTTGAATCAGTGGGGATTTGGTGAGTCAGCTCCTTCATAAGTTCAATTGATTCAGATGGGCCTACTTGAGTTGCAACTTACTGTGCAAGTCACAATTAGAGGAGAACCATTTGAATTAACTGAACTCATTGAGGATCTAGTGAGTCTATTCTACTACACTAAAGAACAGGATTTCAGCCAATGTTTCAAGCAGGTACATAGGGACTACTCTGAATTCACAAATAGTACTTTGCAGAAATGAAGGCCTAAAAGTGCACACCAACTATTGCTTTTCACAGATATGTAGCTCAGTGAACAGGTTCCAATCAATGCAGGACCTTTTTGGCTCCCATCCTCCACCAACCTTCTTTTTGCGTTCTTTGAGCATCTGTACAAGGCTATTCAGTGCATGAATTGACGACATAGTGTTAGATTTCATTAAAGTTGGTTCCTTGTTGATGATTGCCAGATGCATACACCGTGTTTATATCTGTCTCTCTAATTTCTGTATTTATTTTTAAAACTCAATGTGTTACATCATGTATTGGAACCTTAACAAATAAGGATGGCATACAATGTGTGACTTTAGGGCTCTTTCTTCTTCACATTCATGCTTTATTACATACTTCTTCTGAGAACCTGTGCCAGTATCAAGCAGGCACACGATTCCTAAGCAGAGATATGGGCTGCACATAACACCAAACTTCTATGCAAGGAAGCATGGAACAGAAAATGTTGGAAGCAAAGTGAATAAAAATCAATGAGCTAAAAAAATTAAATTAGATTATTGAAATTAAACAGGTTTTTTAAAAATTTAAATAATGTCCAACATCCTATTAGCGTCAGCCAGCATAAATCCAGTGGCATAAATCTCAGTAGCAGAATGCTGCTCATTAAGAATTTTGTGCTTGCATTTCTTGTTGGGTCACTCTCATGTATTCCAGCTCTCAACAAGAAATAAAAGTTTCAAATTTTTATATGGGAGCAATTCACTGGACTTGAATTGGTGCCATATAAGATTCTGAAGATTCTGACCTGTATTTTTTAACATTAAAAAAGTCCTATGTGATAAAGACACCCAGTGTGGTGTGGTGGATAGTCTCACTTACCTTAGGGTCACTATAAATTGGTTCCAGCTTGACGGCACATAACAGCAACAACCTGTGGTGTGGGGCCTGTGGAGCCAGAGGTTGGGAGTCCGGATCCCCACTGTGCCTTCTATGAGTAGAGATACTATTTGTGGCCTTGAGGAAGCTACACATTCCCAGGGTAACCCCAGAAGAAGGGAATGATAAGCTACTTCTGTGAAAGGGTCGCCATAATTCAGAATTGATTTGATACCATATGATTTAGTTGGCTGGATAGCTCATTGAGTTTGGTATCTGGCTGTGGAGTTAGAGGTTGGAAGTTCAGGTCCCCACTGTGTGTCCCAGGAGAGCCAGCCTGTATTCTCAGAAGAAGGGAATGGTAAAGTGCTTTTTATTTTATTTTACTTTTCTATAAATCCATTCAAAATAGCATAACATAACAATATCTGTTGTAATACAATAATAGTAAATTTCTTATTCATAAACTCTTATACCTTCATATACAGAAAGATGTATACAGTCATGTGAAAAAGAAACTTTGATTTCTATGGTTTACCATATCAGGGCTAGAGAAAACAGCCAATGCATTAAATATTCATCCCCTCATATTCACTATTGTAATACAATAATAGTAAATTTCTTATTCATAAACTCTTATACCTTCATATACAGAAAGATGTATACAGTCATGTGAAAAGGAAACTTTGAATTCTATGGTTTACCATATCAGGACTAGAGAAAACAGCCGATGCATTAAATATTCATCCCCTCATATTCCAGTCATGTGAAAAGGAAACTTTGAATTCTATGGTTTACCATATCAGGACTAGAGAAAACAGCCGATGCATTAAATATTCATCCCCTCATATTCATGGGTTCCAGAGACCCCATGAATACTAAGTGATGAATATTTACCTGTTTTTATTCAT